TAGTTCAGTTCTAGTTCAGTTCTAGTTCAGTTCTAGTTCAGTTCTAGTTCAGTTCTACTTCAGTTCTAGTTCAGTTCTAGTTCAGTTCTAGTTCAGTCAGTTAGTTCAGTTCTAGTTCAGTTCTAGTTCAGTTCTAGTTCAGTTATAGTTCAGTAGTTCAGTTCTAGTTCAGTTCTAGTTCAGTTCTAGTTCAGTTCTAGTTCAGTTCTAGTTCAGTTCTAGTTCAGTTCTAGTTCAGTTCTAGTTCAGTTCTAGTTCAGTTCTAGTTCAGTTCTAGTTCAGTTCTAGTTCAGTTCTAGTTCAGTTCTAGTTCAGTTCTAGTTCAGTTCTAGTTCAGTTCTAGTTCAGTTCTAGTTCAGTTCTAGTTCAGTTCTAGTTCAGTTCTAGTTCAGTTCTAGTTCAGTTCTAGTTCAGTTCTAGTTCAGTTCTAGTTCAGTTCTAGTTCAGTTCTAGTTCAGTTCTAGTTCAGTTCTAGTTCAGTTCGTAGTTTAGTTCTAGTTCAGTGCTAGTTCAGGTTCTAGTTCAGTTCTAGTTCAGTTCTAGTTCAGTTCTAGTTCAGTTCTAGTTCAGTTCTAGTTCAGTTCTAGTTCATTCTAGTTCAGTTCTAGTTCAGTTCTAGTCAGTCTAGGTTCAGTTCTAGTTCAGTTCTAGTTCAGTTCTAGTTCAGTTCTAGTCAGTTCTAGTTCAGTTTCTAGTTCAGTTCTATTCAGTTCCTAGTTCAGTTCTAGTTCAGTTCTAGTTCAGGTTCTAGTTCAGTTCTAGTTTACTAGTCAGTAGGGGCTGGGGAAATGAGGTCTAGTGCACTTCTAGTAAAAACTAAATTGTAATCCATAAAAACTTTGAATTTATATAATAAATTTAGGTTTGACATTTGATTTTAAATATTTAGCTAATATTGTAAATTTCAATAATATTATTTTGAATATTTCAATTAATAAATAAATCATGTTATTGTCTTGTTACTTAATGTCAATTTAAATAAAAGTAATAGCAAAACAAAACACAATGAAGCAAATGACAGCTTTAAAACTGAAAATGTCAACGTACTAACGAAAATCTCTTAAAGACTTTAGAGAGATTATTAACTCGACAGCTAAATTTATTAACTTGTAATAATTAATTTTAAAACAACGTATTAAAATAGTTTACCTTCAAATATACATAAATGTTAACAGCAATTATAACTAGATTTTTTTTGTTGCTAATAAATAAAATTAATAATTGATTTGAAAGATCTGTCTATTTAAATCTTTTTTTTTCTATTTTGTTGTTATACAATTTTATTTTTAAATTGTAATATTAAATAAAAATTGTTATTGAATTATAATAGAAAGCTTTATGGGAAAAATTAATGATTTCCTAAAACGGTAGGAAGCAGACATTAAGTCTACTATAGTATTTGTATTTTATTAGTACAAAACTTATGCAAATTGTTGTAGTTGTTGCTGTTGGTGCTGGTGGAAGTGCTTAACAATTTTTTTATTACTATTATTTATATTGAATTGATTAAAAGGCGAAAAAAAATAATTAAAATTCATAAAGGAAGATGCACCATCAAGATTGTATTTAAAGCTAAATTATAGTTCTATAAATGTGCAAAAATATACATATTTTAAAATAGTTTTATGTAGTAGTTAAGGTTAAGGGGATGACTTATTTAATAATTTGTTTTTTTAGTTAGCACCTGGTGGCTATTTATGTTTTATAAACCATTTATAACCTAGTTTTATACGACATTATTTTTAATTGTTTTATTGTTTTTATAAATTCTTTATTTAAGATTTCTTTTCTTTATAATTTTCGGCATTCAATATGCTTAATATTCAATTTTTATTTTTGTTATAAATGTCTTCCTTATTATGTGTCTGCTTTATGTCACGCTTCAATTTATTTATTACAAAACTTTTATTTAAATTTCGGTTAACAGAAACAAAACATAACCATTCTTTATATAAAAAACCTGTCAATTATTGATTTTTTTTTGGTTTGCCAAAATTGCCTAAGGAAAAAATGTTTTTCTGTATATAATTTTAATAAAAAACCACACCTCCTTTTTAATTTCAAAAATTTTTATGCGTATTTTATGACAAACATTAATTTCTACTTTCTTCCAAAAGATAAAAGCTCAAATAACAACAAGTGGTTAATATAAATTTTGTTGTATTGGCTCAAATAATTGTTAAGAAAAAAAATTTAAAAGCCAACATTTTTTTAAATACACTCAATATTCACGTGATTTGATTAAAGCTGGATTTTATTTTATGGTTATGAGATATAAGAAAAGAGAATATACAGAATACATTAATTTCAACACAAGTCATTAAAAAATTGAATGTCAAAAAAGAAAGAAAAAATTATGTTTGAAATCGCAAGCCAGTTAAAAGTAGTTTAAGTGGACGGGGAAGTATGCCCAAGCGAAAGTTAATCCATGTTTAAATTCTTTACATTTTCAATACTTTAAACAAATCCATCAGTTCTAGTTCAGTTCTAGTTCAGTTTAGTTCTGTTCTAGTTCAGTTCTAGTTCAGTTCTAGTTCAGTTCTAGTTCACTTCTAGTTCAGTTCTAGTTCAGTTCTAGTTCAGTTCTAGTTCAGTTCTAGTTCAGTTCTAGTTCAGTTCTAGTTCAGTTCTAGTTCAGTTCTAGTTCAGTTCTAGTTCAGTTCTAGTTCAGTTCTAGTTCAGTTTCTAGTTCAGTTCTAGTTTCAGTTCTAGTTAAATTCTAGTTAGTTCTAGTCAGTTCTAGTTCAATTCTAGTTCAGTTCTAGTTCAGTTCTAGTTCAGTTCTAGTTCAGTTCTAGTTCAGTTTCTAGTTCAGTAGTCTAGTTCAGTTCTAGTTCAGTTCTAGTTCAGTTCTAGTTCAGTTCTAGTTCAGTTCTAGTTCAGTTCTAGTTCAGTTCTAGTTCAGTTCTAGTTCAGTTCTCGTCAGTCTAGTTCAGTTCTAGTTCAGTTCTAGTTCAGTTCTAGTTCAGTTCTAGTTCAGTTCTAGTTCAGTTCTAGTTTCAGTTCTAGTTCAGTTCTAGTTCAGTTCTAGTTCAGTTCTAGTTCAGTTCTAGTTCAGTTCTAGTTCAGTTCTAGTTCAGTTCTAGTTCAGTTCTAGTTCAGTTCTAGTTCAGTTCTAGTTCAATTCTAGTTCAGTTCTAGTTCAGTTCTAGTTCTGTCTAGTTCTGTTCTAGTTCAGTTCTAGTTCACTTCTAGTTCAGTTCTAGTTCTGTTCTAGTTCAGTTCTAGTTCAGTTCTAGTTCAGTTCTAGTTCAGTTCTAGTTCAGTTCTAGTTCAGTTCTAGTTCAGTTCTAGTTCAGTTCTAGTTCAGTTCTAGTTCAGTTCTAGTTCAGTTCTAGTTCAGTTCTAGTTCAGTTCTAGTTCAGTTCTAGTTCAGTTCTAGTTCAGTTCTAGTTCAGTTCTAGTTCAGTTCTAGTTCAGTTCTAGTTCAGTTCTAGTTCAGTTCTAGTTCAGTTCTAGTTCAGTTCTAGTTCAGTTCTAGTTCAGTTCTAGTTCAGTTCTAGTTCAGTTCTAGTTCAGTTCTAGTTCAGTTCTAGTTCAGTTCTAGTTCAGTTCTAGTTCAGTTCTAGTTCAGTTCTAGTTCAGTTCTAGTTCAGTTCTAGTTCAGTTCTAGTTCAGTTCTAGTTCAGTTCTAGTTCAGTTCTAGTTCAGTTCTAGTTCAGTTCTAGTTCAGTTCTAGTTCAGTTCTAGTTCAGTTCTAGTTCAGTTCTAGTTCAGTTCTAGTTCTAGTTCAATTCTAGTTCAGTTCTAGTTCAGTTCTAGTTCTGTTCTAGTTCAGTTCTAGTTCAGTTCTAGTTCAGTTCTAGTTCAGTTCTAGTTCTGTTCTAGTTCAGTTCTAGTTCAGTTCTAGTTCAGTTCTAGTTCAGTTCTAGTTCAGTTCTAGTTCAGTTCTAGTTCAGTTTCAGTTCTAGTTCTAGTTCAGTTCTAGTTCAGTTCTAGTTCAGTTCTAGTTCAGTTCTAGTTCAGTTCTAGTTCAGTTCTAGTTCAGTTCTAGTTCAGTTCTAGTTCAGTTCTAGTTCAGTTCTAGTTCAGTTCTAGTTCAGTTCTAGTTCAGTTCTAGTTCAGTTCTAGTTCAGTTCTAGTTCAGTTCTAGTTCAGTTCTAGTTCAGTTCTAGTTCAGTTCTAGTTCAGTTCTAGTTCAGTTCTAGTTCAGTTCTAGTTCAGTCTAGTTCAGTTCTAGTTCAGTTCTAGTTCAGTTCTAGTTCAGTTCTAGTTCAGTTCTAGTTCAGTTCTAGTTCAGTTCTAGTTCAGTTCTAGTTCAGTTCTAGTTCAGTTCTAGTTCAGTTCTAGTTCAGTTCTAGTTCAGTTCTAGTTCAGTTCTAGTTCAGTTCTAGTTCAGTTCTAGTTCAGTTCTAGTTCAGTTCTAGTTCAGTTCTAGTTCAGTTCTAGTTCAGTTCTAGTTCAGTTCTAGTTCAGTTCTAGTTCAGTTCTAGTTCAGTTTAGTTCAGTTCTAGTTCAGTTCTAGTTCAGTTCTAGTTCAGTTCTAGTTCAGTTCTAGTTCAGTTCTAGTTCAGTTCTAGTTCAGTTCTAGTTCAGTTCTAGTTCAGTTCTAGTTCAGTTCAGTTTAGTCAGTTCTAGTTCAGTTCTAGTTCAGTTCTAGTTCAGTTCTAGTTCAGTTCTAGTTCCGTTCTAGTTCCGTTTAGTTCAGTTCTAGTTCAGTTCTAGTTCAGTTCTAGTTCAGTTCTAGTTCAGTTCTAGTTCAGTTCTATGTCAGTTCTAGTTCAGTTCTAGTTCAGTTCTAGTTCAGTTTCTAGTTCAGTTCTAGTTCAGTTCTAGTTCAGTTCTAGTTCAGTTCTAGTTCAGTTCTAGTTCAGTTCTAGTTCAGTTCTAGTCAGTTCTAGTTCAGTTCTAGTTCAGTTCTAGTTCAATTTATTGTCCTTGTGCTTATGGGGATCTCTATACATATATTTTTGGTATTAAAGGAAGTGTGTGTTATTCTCTACTGATTTTTTTTAATAAATCTTTTTATTAATCTCAAAGTATTTTTTTTTCAAACTTACCTTAACAGGTTCATCATTTTCAAAACCTCCATATAGTAAACCCAGTCATTTTGTATGTGTTTTTTGTTGTTTCTTTTTGGTTTTATTTACAATAAGTTGCTATTATTCTAAAAGAGAAAAGATATATAAAATTAATTAATACACGTTTTTGTTAATATTTAAAAATAATTATTACAATAAAATAAAATAACCTAAACAATGAATGATCACCAATAATATATATGAAGTTTTTTTTTGGGTTTAAATTACACTCACGAAATAATTGAAAACGTCATAATATTTTTGATTGATATTATTTTCATTTTCGTTTTTTAATCAAAAAGCCCTAATTGGCGGTATAGTCTTTTTGTAGTTATTATTTTTATTATTAAACATTTTTGTATTAATATTTTGTTTTGTTTATTATATTAAAACAAATTGCATGTATGTTTGTCAGTTTGTTTGTTTTTTAATATATGTATGTATATTTTTTTAAAATTTTGTCTTGTTAAAATCATGGCAAAAAGCATTCAACTGAAAAGCCGTTGACTTGTTAATAACATTTAGTTATAATAGTTCAAGTTCATGTTCAAAATTTGTATATTATTTATTATTTTCCATTTTATATTGCTGTCATCATATTAACTTTTTCTAGTTTTTTTTTTTTTTTTTTTTTTGTTTATCAATTTATATGATTATAAACAAAAAAGATTATAGCTAAATATAATTGGTTAAAAATAATAAAAAACCTATAATAATATAAAATGTAGGTATATATTAAAATATATATAATAAATAGGATTTCTTAATGTTAAATTCACGTGCTGAAAGTTTTGTGAAAAAAATGATATGGTTGTTAAAATTATTATGTAGTACTGCTACTAAAGCTGTAATCACAGACACAGTTTTGCCACGGACTAAAATATTGAGAACTGCTGCTCTTTTGGTAAATTTTATTGAAATTGTAACAGTGTTAGTAGTATATTATTTATTAATAATTTGCTTGTGATCTAATAGTTCTGTTATTTTCATAATTAACTTTTATTTTAACTAAATTTTTAAATGAGGTCTTTAAGCATTTTTCAAAAATATTGAAGCGTAACGTAAATTGTTTGAATTTGTAATTAAGTTAAAAAGAAATCCATTTCGTTGTAAAACAAATATTTTTGAAGAATAACAAAAACTTGAAATAAATGTGATTGGCAGTCATAGCCAACAGCTGCCATGAGGAAAATTAAGGAATTATTTTTTATTTTTCATAAAGCCACATTTGTATTGATCCTTATATGTGCGAAAAGCCCTTTGAGCCGATCAATACTTTTAATCAAATTTATCCACCCCACCCCAACAAATTATATAATAAATTACGAATTTAATCTAAAACATGCAAAATTAATTAATTCCATCATTATTGTGCTTCTAGGGAATAGTTTTATTCAATTATATTTTCAAAAATAATCATAAAAATCCATTAAATTGAATTATAGCAATTATACAAATTAATGAAGTCATACAAAATTATTTAATAAAAACAAAACTAATTATAGATTTTAGTTAAACCAAATTTACTAAAAAAAAGTTAAAAGTTTATGATTTTAATTTAAACTGAGATATTAAATTGTTAATTTAAATAATGTTTTTTAATGAACAATTATATTTTAAAAGTTTAAGTTTCCATAATTTTCAATAATTAACTAGAACTAGTCACGTGATTGTTTACTACTAGTTAGAAGATCGAGTTGGTAGATATTTATTCTATTCTCATTATTATATTTTAATTTAGAAATTTGAGAAATGACTTGGATAAGTATTAGTGTAAAGCGGAGTTCACCAAAAAGAGAATAACTTTAAATGATGTAAAAAATTAAAACAAATTGGATTAGAGTGAGCTCAAATATAGTTTTAGCTCTAGTTCAGTTCTAGTTCAGTTCTAGTTCAGTTCTAGTTCAGTTCTAGTTCAATTCTAGTTCAATTCTAGTTCAGTTCTAGTTCAGTTCTAGTTCAGTTCTACTTCAGTTCTAGTTCAGTTCTAGCTCAGTTCTAGTAGTTCAGTTCTAGTTCAGTTCTAGTTCAGTTCTAGTTCAGTTCTAGTTCAGTTCTAGTTCAGTTCTAGTTCAGTTCTAGTTTAGTTCTAGTTTAATTCTAGTTCAGTTCTAGTTCAGTTCTAGTTCAGTTCTAGTTCAGTTCTAGTTCAGTTCTAGTTCAGTTCTAGTTCAGTTCTAGTTCAGTTCTAGTTCAGTTCTAGTTCAGTTCTAGTTCAGTTCTAGTTCAGTTCTAGTTCAGTTCTAGTTCAGTTCTAGTTCAGTTCTAGTTCAGTTCTAGTTCAGTTCTAGTTCAGTTCTAGTTCAGTTCTAGTTCAGTTCTAGTTCAGTTCTAGTTCAGTTCTAGTTCAGTTCTAGTTCAGTTCTAGTTCAGTTCTAGTTCATTTTCGTTTTGCGTATGTGAAAATAGCCGTTTAAAGTTCGTACCCTTGAGTTATGTTTGGTTACCACTGATCTAAAGATGGCTTACGCTATTCAAGTTTCCTAAAGAAATATTTTGTTCATTGTAACAAAATATTTGTTTTGGTGTAACAAATAAACTTTACAAATAGTGTGTCGTTTTTGTTAATTTCTAGAATTATTTAATATTCATATTATTTAATCGTAAAAAATTAATTACAACTTTTCAACAAATTCCAAAGAAAAAAAAACTTGTTCACACACTAATCCCACATATAATCATAAACATATTAATTTAACGTTTTTTTTTTATTATTTATTAAAAAAAAAGTTCACATAAGTAAATTGTGTAAACTGTAAAGAAAAATTTATTGTTTTAAACAATAGTCAATTAAATTTACGGTATATATTTTTTTATTTAATAACACGTGCCATTTTTGTGTAATAAACAAATTAAAGTTAGAAATTATAGGAAAAACCAATTGATTCGATTAAAAATAATCGATTTGTTGCTGAAAATTTTTTCAAATCTTAATAGTTTATCTTAATATTTTGAATATTTCTAGCTTTGGAAACCGATTATTTGAAATAACAGTCTTTCTGTCAGTCACATGTGTTTGAGAAAATTAATTTTTTAAAACTGCACACAATAAAATATTTCATATGTAAAAAATTGAGTTAGCAATTACAATTTGGTTTTTTGTTTGCTTTAAACAATTAAATGTTAATTATACTAAATGCATATATGGAGGGGTTTATGGGAAAATTTTATTGTGTAATATACGTATATACATACCTATGTACATACATATGTATGTATGTATGTTAACTTTTTTCTAAAAACTTTTTTTTTTAATTCTAAAGCCTGTTTAGCAGTTATGGTCATTAAATGTTTTCATTTTACTTTTTACTTATTGCAAATACAATTTCTATACAATTTCGCAGTTGTTGTTTTGTTATATTAAATAAATATTTTTTTAACAAAAGTAGCGGTTATTTATTTGTCACTATTAGACGTTTTTATTATTATTTTTTTTTTTATCTCACTCACTCTGTCCCGGCTATGATTGATTTGAAATTGCTTTAAATGTTTATATATTGGGTTTGTATTTGTTAAATATACTGGTAATCAATATTATTTAATAATTTGCTGTCAATTTAATTTTGACAAGTATTTCTTTAAGATCTTAAGGAATTGTGTTTGTTTTTATTTAAACAACTTATTTTTTTCGTTATTGATTTGTCAAGGGTGTTTATGTTTATTATAAGAAGGTGATTTTAAGATATGGTTTATTTTAAACATGTTTTCTTAAGCATTTTTTAGTTTATTAATAATTTTGTTATTGATTTAGTATTATTTGTATAATTAAATATGTCTGGGGGTTATTCCTAATATTAAGGCAGTTAAAATTATCAAAAACGTACTAAGTAACTTTATAATATTTTTACAGAAAATAAGTAGTAATTTCTATGGATAATTTTTAATCCTCTTCGTTTTAAAATATATGAATGAAGATCAATCGTGTCCTTATGAAGGAAATATTATTCATAATACGAACGCAAAGAAATATCTCTAGTTCAATTTTAGTTCAGTTCTAGTTCAGTTCTAGTTCAGTTCTAGTTCAGTTCTAGTTCAGTTCTAGTTCAGTTCTAGTTCAGTTCTAGCTCAGTTCTAGTCTCAGTTCTAGTTCAGTTCTAGTTCAGTTCTAGTTCAGTTCTAGTTCAGTTCTAGTTCAGTTCTAGTTCAGTTCTAGTTCAGTTCTAGTTCAGTTCTAGTTCAGTTCTAGTTCAGTTCTAGTTCAGTTCTAGTTCAGTTCTAGTTCAGTTCTAGTTCAGTTCTAGTTCAGTTCTAGTTCAGTTCTAGTTCAGTTCTAGTTCAGTTCTAGTCAGTTCTAGTTCAGTTCTAGTTCAGTTCTAGTTCAGTTCTAGTTCAGTTCTAGTTCAGTTCTAGTTCAGTTCTAGTTCAGTTCTAGTTCAGTTCTAGTTCAGTTCTAGTTCAGTTCTAGTTCAGTTCTAGTTCAGTTCTAGTTCAGTTCTAGTTCAGTTCTAGTTCAGTTCTAGTTCAGTTCTAGTTCAGTTCTAGTTCAGTTCTAGTTCAGTTCTAGTTCAGTTCTAGTTCAGTTCTAGTTCAGTTCTAGTTCAGTTCTAGTTCAGTTCTAGTTCAGTTCTAGTTCAGTTCTAGTTCAGTTCTAGTTCAGTTCTAGTTCAGTTCTAGTTCAGTTCTAGTTCAGTTCTAGTTCAGTTCTAGTTCAGTTCTAGTTCAGTTCTAGTTCAGTTCTAGTTCAGTTCTAGTTCAGTTCTAGTTCAGTTCAGTTCTAGTTCAGTTCTAGTTCAGTTCTAGTTCAGTTCTAGTTCAGTTCTAGTTCAGTTCTAGTTCAGTTCTAGTTCAGTTCTAGTTCAGTTCTAGTTCTAGTTCTAGTTCAGTTCTAGTTCAGTTCTAGTTCAGTTCTAGTTCAGTTCTAGTTCAGTTCTAGTTCAGTTCTAGTTCAGTTCTAGTTCAGTTCTAGTTCAGTTCTAGTTCAGATCTAGTTCAGTTCTAGTTCAGTTCTAGTTCAGTTCTAGTACAGTTCTAGTTCAGTTCTAGTTCTAGTTCAGTTCTTGTTCAAGTTCATTTCTCTTCCTCTCTCTCTTTCTTTGAGCTGTCAAACCCGATCGAAAGTTTGTACAAAACTGGCCGGTAAAAAAAG